ATAACACTGGACATAGCATGAGCTTGACATAGGCAGAGCATAACATATAACGCTGGACATAGCATGAGCTTGACATAGGCAGAGCATAACATATAACGCTGGACATAGCAGAGCTTAACATAGCATGAGCTTGACATAGGCAGAGCATAACATATAACGCTGGACATAGCAAGAGCTTGACATAGCATGAGCTTGACATAGGCAGAGCATAACATATAATGCTGGACATAGCAGAGCTTGACATAGCATGAGCTTGACATAGGCAGAGCATAACATATAATGCTGGACATAGCATAGCTTAAGTTAACATAGCGTGCGCTTGACATAGACAGAGCATAACATATAACGCTGGACATAGCAGAGCTTAACATAGCGTGAGCTTGACATAGGCAGAGCATAACATATAACGCTGGACATAGCATAACAGAGCTGGAAATCTCCGCAGTAGCACGCCTGCGTGTAGCGTGAGAGCTAGCGAATGCAGCTTGACATGATAACGAACCCCGCACATTCGCGAACCATACACCCCCAGACTCTCGACGATCGTTCTGGGCATGCCTTGCTTCTCAGCCCCGATTAGCAATGGTCGCTGTTGTGATATCTATAAATAGCCTAAATACACCTAACCAGTATAGTGAGCAAACACCACCTATTGTCAAATAATGACACTAGAGTTCACCCCGAGTTAAGAGATGTCAACCCCTCGCTCTCACCCCAAGATGGCTGTATGAGCTAAGCAGTAGCTTATACTGTTGCTCTCAATGAAATCAGTTACATCCTTGTCAATCCCTCTAATCTCCGTCGTTCGACATGCGCATGGTATCACTTCAGTCGTTAGCCGGTGTGTGTAGAACCGCGATCTAGACTCTGCATAGCACTCACCCAGCATTCGACATCACCTGGATCTTGGTCGCCTCGCCGCGCAGGTCGTAGAATATCAGCTTCTGTCCGGATGCTCTCTTGGCATGCACCCGACCTGCCGAGCAGCGAAAACACAGGGGGCGCCGTTGTTGACATTTGTTTCACAAGCATTTTAGTCGTAATATTAGTTTTTCCCATGTGCTATAATCGTAATAATCTATAATAGCCTATTATCATATAGCTGGGACCAATCTGACCACAACCCCTGGGTTACAGCATGTGCCTAGCTACCTCTACTCAGTACAACAATTCTATCTCTACAACTCGCTACCAACCAAATGTAAACAATTGGCACAGCCTCTAAAATATGAAAATCGACTCACCGGCAACGCTGACGACGTCGTCATGCACCTCCCCCGCGACGAGATGCTCGTACTTGGCGATGAAGTCTGTCAGCGAGATGCTGACGTCGAACTTGTGCGGGTACGCGTCCTCACCAGCCTCCTTCCACGCGGTGATAGACTGCAGCCGCAGCTTGAAGTACTCCTGCAGACGACAGAGAGAGTTTAGCTACAACTGGGTACAAGCTCAAGTTAGTTCCACAGTATAATAGAATATATATACAGGTCAATAATAATAACAATAATAATAATAATAAGTTAGACCTCAATAGAACCTCAGTACAATACCCCGACCAAGGACAGCAAGCAATTGGCTGAAGAAGCTTAATCAAGTTCCAGTTACATCATTTAATAGTGTATAAAGGTTAATAATAAGAATAAGAGTAATAACTTAGACCTTAATATAAGGGGGTTTCACTTGAATGATCCTTATATACAGGTCAAAGTGTACATAAATGAAATACAACTGTTTATTAAGGATAGATACATATATATGTATATTATGAAAAGTTCCAACTTTATCTATTAGCAACAAAAACGTGAAGCTTATGTTGAGAAGCTCTGACTAACATTTGGATCAATGTCCTCTTCGTCCTTCACCAGTCCTGGCTTCTTTGGCGCAACGTGATCATTCTGCTGTTCCTGCGCGAGAGCCTTCAGCTTCTCCTCCTTCTCCTTCAGCTTCTGCTCGGCTTTCAGCCTCCGCTTCTGCTCACTGACAAGTAGAGATCACAGCAGAAATGCAATCAAATGATGCGACCGAAGAATTAACAAGCGAGTGTTAAACGGGCTGCATGGCATGCCTAACCACTCAGATATGAAACAATTACCACTGACTAAACGGCGACCTATTCGATTCACATTTCGCGCAATCCTCCGTCCGATCGGGTGATAAATTTAAATCTCGAAGGTGTACATGGCCTCCGAGTTGCTGTACGGTAATATTTCGCCATTTCACGGCGCCGCTTCTACACTACTAAAGACAAGAGAACTGACCTCCTTGTCTGGTGAGTATTTTTGCAGGCGGACGAGGAAGATATGTGAGCAGTGCCGAGGGGAGCTCTCAGTCGCACAAGATAGTTGGCGCTCAGCAGTTGCCGAATCAACATTGTAACGCGTCAAATTAAGCACACATCTACCCTTGACCTACAGCGCACAACAACCAAAAACAACGGTGTTGCATATCTTTTCGACATAACATCGTGAAAACATCTCACAGACGACTTTCGATTTATACGAAGGGGTTCGTGAGAAGCCGGGGTGCATGGCGATTGAGATCTGTACGCTGTGTATTTTATACACCGACCGGGCTGCGAGACCAATGTCAATACACATCCTTCTTATCCCCTCCTTACTTCCTAACCTTCTTATCTCGCCTGCTAATTTTACTCCTACACCTAGTATTTTCAAAACAATAATATTTAGTAATTTAAGCCCCTTGTATACGTGCATTCAGATTATACAAACAGGGATCTTTATGGGGTTTAACCTACAGACCCTGACCTTGATTTTGATTATATTACTGCCTTAAATACGTGTAATACGTAAAGTCTAAACAAAAGATTCAGAGGCTGACGCAATCACGTCTGACAGTGACATAATTGAAATCACAAACACAAGATAAACAACGCCTTGAAACGTCTCTTATGAGACGGTCACTCCAGATTTTAAAGTATTTAATATTTATATAAACATCAAACTGACAGACATTAACTTTCAGCAATACTAACATCACTATCCGAATAGCGAAACGCTGTCTTTACCGGCCTATTATAGGCCCTACTGTGAAATATGGCACGAATGATCACACAAACACGGCACAAACGGTGTCAGTAACTACCTACTTTAATTACGTTCAAATATTATTACAATTACGAAACCAAGTGGTCAAATAAACATAAATGATGCTTTTCTAACAGTTAGCACAACCGCATAGTTACCTGTCAAGATTGCGAATGTATATAATATCAAATACAATAATTACCTCTTACTCAACGGCTTCGCTTCGTCATCCATAGTTGTTCACTACCGACACATGTATGTGCTACCGCCGAGCTCACTCACGTGCCCGTGTAATATGGAATTCATTCACCCGTATTTGTTAGGAGAGCACGCAACAGGAGCTGGGTCACTGGGTGGTGCCTTCTGCGGCACTACCACGTGTCTCTTAAATGCGTTTAAAATGTGTTTAAAAATGCGTATAAATGTGTGTAAAAATGTGTTTAAAATGCGCTTGTCTCATTTTTGGTGTTAATATTCGGCACTAGAATGCAATAATCTGCATTATGTTTGCAAGGCAGATGCTCTAAGATAGGTCGGTAGATTCCAGCTCAGAGGGATAAAGAGGGTTTACTTACTAGACATCCAAATGAATATTATATGGATATAAGCGAACTGGCTAATCCAGATATATCGGCCGATGCGGTGGTAAACACGAACAGTGAGAGCATCTATACATGGAACCTCAGGCTCCTGGATCTGAGAAGAAAGAATAACGGAGCGCATGAGGTCCATGAGGACAGGATGAGGAGGTAGAGAAGGCGGAAGAGGAGGGAGATATATAGGGAATGTGTAGAAATGGTGAAGGAGGAAGTGGATATGAGTTCAATTGTCGGATAAGCCAAGTGGGAGAGGGTGAAGTGGATCCGGGCCGTTTTTATACGTTCAAACTGGAGTCTGACAGGCTGACAGCACGTGTGCTTGGTAAAATCCGATCTAAAATGTTCACCGGCTTTGCTCGCAGCATCACGCCCTGGGTTCCCGGCTATGCCGTTATTAATGTTCATGAAGATGGCGCTCGTGCGTCGGTCACCGTTGACTGCCAAGAGAATTTTCTACGGCCGTTCTCATGCGTTCAAACTAGTCGCGGGCAAGCCGACGGCATGTGTGCATGGTAAAATCTGATCGCCATGTTTCACTTTGCTCTCAGCATAGCTCTCAGCATCGCGCCACGATTCCCAGCTCTGGTATAGTGCACATGAAAAAGGCGCTCCTACGTCGGTCGCCGTTGACTGCCAAGATAATTTTCTTCGGCCGTTTTTATACATTCAAACTGGAGCCGGGCAGGCTGACAGCACGTGTGCTTGGTAAAATCCGATCTAAATGCTTCACTTAGCTCGCAGCATCGCGCCACGATTCTTAGCTATGGTAATAATGTACAGGGGAAAGGCGCTCCAAGATCATTTTCTTCGGAGTCACGCGTACCTCATATTCGTACGTCTATCTAGCCGTGATATAATGATATAGAGATAAATACAAGCCAGTGCTCAAGGGTAGAATGAACGTTCATAGGGCAGGCTGGATAAAGTACAGAATTGAGTTACATTAACATAATTTCAGTTTCTGACACAATTTGATATTCCATAAATTTTATAAGTAGGCCTAATATACATAAATATCTACAGCCGAAAATAATTAAAATGTATTTAAATGCGTTATTGAATAATGTTTGGATCTTTTAACTGAATTTATATGTGCCGTTCATTCTACTTTTAACACTACTTTTGCTGATGAATATTATTTTATAGGTGTGGTATATTATAATGTAAAAGTGGTGCTATATAAACACATAAATCCAAATCTAAATGTATACATTTTATTTCTTCAGCAAAATAAAATATAGTATATATACGATTTTATGAGAAAGAACAGCAAAATTTGCTATTCCAATCAGAAAACCTCATAAGCTATATGTGAACATATATACTGTAGCTGATATATGCAGATGCATGGCGTGTCACTTTACAATGACTAATTAGTCACTCTACATGCAGCTGTGGAGGACGACAATGTTTGCCTCTCTGTGTTTCTCACTCACCTGTACATTTTGATACTGCAACTACTGGTTGATACCGACGTGTTGCACCAAAAATAAGTTCTTAGAATGGAATCTGGAATCTTTTCAGGTACATTTTAAAAATGACAAGCATATATATCGATCCCCTCCGAATTCTGACGTTTTTGACTTGGCATCGCTTGGGTGAACGACTGACGATGCACTCTAGCATCTTTTAGCATTTTTATATTTGAAACCATGACAAATAAGTTTATCGTGGTGCATCCTAAAATAATTTCACTGCTCACTTTCTACACTGACTAGACACCAATAACACTGAGTGACTCAGACCTCTATGAATACTAGATAGTGGCCTTTGTAAGGCTGCTGCTGCTGCTGTGTGCATACAAAGTGTCAACACCACATTTCTTCTCTTCATCATTACACAACAACTACTAAAAATATTGCTCTTTGCCAACGAATTGTCAAAAATCCTTCCAGAGTGATCTTATCTAATGACATTTAATTTGTGAACAGGTAACAACAAACAATAACATATTCACTATACACCTGGTGCAGACAGTTGTGCACCGAGACAATGTACAAACCACTGTCACAGACAATCTGTCATTATAAAATTTGCATGGTAAATAGTACCTTGAACAATGGCAATGTCTTTTTATACAAATTAAGCCAGTTTTAATAGAAATTACATCTTCTTGAGATTGGGAAAAAGGTCAATTGCACCTCCTGTCACAGAATATTTCTATGTGCCAACAACACAGAAGCTTCAGGTGTTCATATATATAGACTTAGATCCAAAACGAGATTTTCCATACAACAACAACGTCACGTAACAGTTGAGCTTAAATTCCTAAAACACTTTGCTAGAAAAGCACGGTGGCACCCTACGTGCAATGCGCCACCACACTACCAGCGTAAGGACGGACTCGACAACAATGAACCATGCGCACGCTGCAGTTAGACTTTCGTCTTATTCTGGACGGGAAGGTAGAGCTTGAATTCGGCCGGTAGCTCGTCCTCGGAGTAGAGACGGTCGGAGAAGTAGACACGTCGGATCCGACAATTAGCGTGGATCTATAACGAGCAGCACATCACAATGAGCTGGATGATTTACATAATCTGTCATAGCAATTTAGCACTGGGACATTAATTATTTGTGGCTGCATTAAAAAATAAATCAACACGCACAGATTAAAATGTTGTAAAATTAATTGAATAACACATTTATGTCTCCCAACGTGGGATCACAAACAGGTTCAGAAAGATAGAAACACAGGTAGATACACACTTGAACTCTAAGCGTCTCGATGTAGTTTGTTCCGTACGCCCTCCGTGTGAAGTCGGACAGGTTGAACTGGATCTGGTTCCATCCCTCGTCAAGGCGCATGGGCATGGTGCAGATGAACGGCTTCACGCGCGTCGTGCTCTGGTAATTACTCGCACGGAATCTACGCCGCACGTTCTTGTCATCAAGAACCTGAATTAAACACACACAAGAACTCACTGACAGGGCTGGTACGTGACAAGCAAAGAAACAAGCAGAGATCGAGGCAGGCGTCCAAGCAAATTCTTACCAAAGCGAGAAAGGAAGACAAGTAAGTGTGCAGAAAGCAGATTCTAGAAGCATTTCGTACCTGAACCTCGAACGTGAAATATTTCTTTAGATTTTTGATGATCATCACGAGGAATGGCAGCTTGATTCCCAGTGTCTTTTTCGGATCAGCAGGGCACGTGATGTATGTCGTGCTGAAATGCAGCAACGAAAATGTGAAGAGAATCTCTTAAAGATATTATTCTCAGACAGATGCACAATATCAATATTTGATATATTATATTCTCATACTGAACCCACAGCAATGCAGCAGTATCTAATTTATTCAGCTGTAGACACTGAACGCATGCGTGTATCAGCAGCACTGCACTGGCTTCCAGCACTATAGATAGTGTGCACAGTGGCGCCCACAGATAGAAGCACTGGAAGCACAGTGCTTCCAGTAAATTTTAGGTTAAACAATTTTGTTCCTACTTTTTGTTCCTAAATCTCTCTCGCAAGACTCACCAGATTGCATCTCCAGACGTCTACCATTCAAAAAGTTTCAGGGTGGGGGGCATGCCCCCAGACCCACCCTACCATGCAGCGTGCCTACGGCGCTTGCTTTTTATTATCACCGAGGATTTTATCCTTCTGTGCTTCTACTTTCTTAAGACCTGTGGCCGCCAGTGGGTGCGCACATAACGATCATGCTGTAATTATTATACACTGCACAAACACGACTACACGTACAGCATCCCAGCTGTGCGTTCGACAACACTTCAATTAGATGCAGCTATAAGAAGCAGCTCTACAGGTATTCATCCAGTTAATTAGGAAGAATATACCGCATCCCCAGCTAGGCAAATCAATATCGTAACCCTGCTGCATCGGTACAGCGACGTCCTACTGTTATTTCTTAATAACCAGTATTTCATAATGTAGTCATGGTATACAGACCTTATGTACATAGAATATTTGTCTAGATACTGGCACAATGTCTATCAATGGACACATTGACTGCAGCAGATATACCTGTTTATGTTTGAAAGAGATCAATATTAACTTACCTGACATTTGTACCCACAATCTCAAGTACAAGAGACTGGATGTCATTGTCTGTGATTCTCTTGATATGTCCATTTCTCACCTGAAAACAACAATAACATATATATTTTAGAAAAGACAAATTGGTGAGCATAAATATTGACACTATTAGTAGCAATAATATCAGTTATAATTCCACAGAATCATTCTTATTTCAAAAATATCTTGAGAACAAATCATCGTCACAGAAGGTATTTTAGTTAGCATAGTACCACTACAATAACTAGAAAGGGCAGTTGTTGCCAACTACATGTATCCCCCGTGTTCTCCCCAAGATGTGTAAGTATACGAAGTTTGGTCGCGCTAGGTCAATTAGGGGCCGAGTTATAGAGCGGAAGGGAAATATGATGAATGTCAAGGTCAAGGTCAATGTCAAATAAAGGTTGAGGTGACCTGGTTTCAGTACGTGACACACCTTCTCCCCAAGATGTGTAAGTATACCAAGTTTGGTAGCGCTAGGTCAATTAGGGGGCGAGTTATAGAGCGGAAGGGAAGTATGATCAAGGTCAAGGTAAAGGTCAAATAAAGGTCGCAGTGACCTGGTTTTGGTACGCTGCTCACCTTCTCCCCAAGATGTGTAAGTATACCAAGTTTGGTAGCGCTCGGTCAATTAGGGGCTGAGTTACAGAGCGGAAGGGAAATATGATCAAGGTCAAGGTAAAGGTAAAATAAAGGTCGCAGCGACCTGGTTTTGGTACGCAGCTCACCTTCTCCCCAAGATGTGTAAGTATACCAAGTTTGGTAGCGCTAGGTCAATTAGGGGCCGAGTTATAGAGCGGAAGGGAAATATGATCAAGGTCAAGGTAAAGGTCAAATAAAGGTCGCAGTGACCTGGTTTTGGTACGCTGCTCACCTTCTCCCCAAGATGTGTAAGTATACCAAGTTTGGTAGCGCTAGGTCAATTAGGGGTCGAGTTATAGAACGGAAAGGAAATTGTCTGTGGCGGCGGCTGGGGAGACATGAAACCATGCATAGTATCCCCGCCGACTTCGTCGCGGGGGATACAATTACTAATAAGTATTATATGTGTGAGTTTGAGAGCTTGATAAAGCTTTGCCTACACAGTGAATTAGTAGCAGTTTTCATTGTTAACCATGACTACAATCCTAACGTTTAGCCTATGTATGGCCAATGTAAAGTCATTATATGCGCCACAGCCATACAGTAACTATGCATAGATCCCTCCCCTGAAGTCCCTTGAAGCATGCCTTCTAGCAGTAGCTCTAACAAAAAGCACGGAAATTGCAGGACCTTTCTGTACAAGTACCCGTATCACTTAGCACAGTAATATCTCTTGCTTTTTATAACATCAGTTAGTGGCACAGAAAATAGCTAGTGGCACAGTAATAGCTGTACAACAGCAATTACTCGCGGGGAAATGCCGGCAAAATCAAGGAATTGAAGAGAGATTTAGACCGTGACTTGTCGCCAACAATCTACATCACATCCCTTAAAATCACATCTGGTGGTATGACGGCAGAAATTTAATATATATATATATATATATAGGCAAGCCTAAGCGCGGAGCTCCCAATAAAATTTAAGATACGTACATTTGTACACGACAATAAGAGAGTGCGTGTTACTATGTAAGAGCAACTTACGAAATGCCAGTGTAATTATAATACACAATTGATTGGGGTTTTATATACACACACACACACATATATATATATATATATGCGCACGCGCACACACGCACACACACACACATATATATAGGTTCGTCATAAGTCGACAAGTGGCATAGTTTATTCAGAGTGGCTATATGCCCGGCAGCCGGCATATATCTGACTACTGCCGGGCACGGTTTTCGATTTCCTAAATGCCCGGCAGTTTTTTATTTTCAGCATTATCTCAAGTAAATAAGGGTTAGTGTTAGGGTTAGGGTTAGGGTCAGGAACTGCCGGGCATTTAGGAAATCGAAGACCGTGCCCGGCTGCCCTGCATATAGCCACAGCGTAGTTTATTAGCCTGGGCTTAGGTATAGGTTAATTGTGTGCGCACTATAGTAGCCACTACCCATATTTTCATCCCACTATTTTACTTTACCATTAGGTAGCTCCTTTACTTCTGCAGGAAACAGTTTGTCAGAGGTGAACAAGTGCCAGTGGCGTAGTTGATGTATGGGCAATGGGGGTCCTGAAGTAGGACCGCATGGCGCTAGTACTAGTACTACACCATACTCCACAGACGTGTTACTGTTACACTGTTACTAGGTCAGGCTGCGTGGGCTGTTACTGGTACAGTGATAGTGATACTGTGTATAGCAGGTAGAACAATTAAAGGTCATGAGGTTATTGTGTGACTGTCAGTGACAGTGTTTGCGACACAAACAACAGTGAACACTCCGACGGCGCCTAGTGAAGAAATTTGATCGATTTACCTTTTTGTCCCATATCTGAAGAGGTTTACTGCCAATACTATAAAGTATTGATAGAAATCCACTCTGAAATGTGTTCTTGAACATGACAAGATGCACTTTCGTTTGACAACACGATGAACAACTGAAGCTCTGCCGATATATGGATCGAAATAAACACAACAGAGAGTTTGCTCGGTAACTAGGGCCGAACAACACACCACATTTCAGTCGCCTAGGCGGCGGAATAATCTGGATATTATAGCTTCGTTATCAAAAAACTATATTGTATATGTGTAAATATTTTATGTAGATAAAATTTTATTCGCATTCTTCGCTATCTTATAGCAGAAACTGCGTGTAAAGAGTTACGTAAATTTATAAGTAAAGTGATCGATAGAAGATATAGGTCCTTGTGGATGAATAACAAGATAGCAGCGCTGAGCGATGACGTAAGCATTTGGAACTACATTTACAAATAGACTGTCATAAGAATTTTACCATGCGTAAAAGTATCAGGGACCAATAGTCCCAGAAAAAAATGGTCCCCAAGCATGCTTATGGCAACTGTATTTTGTATGAAATTTAACATTGGCGACGGCATTTCTCTAAGTCTACGGCACATATTGTAGATTAATTTGTCTAGATTTTCATCCGCCCATGATAAGTACACGTTATTGTCGTGAAGGGCACCATGGAAACAATTGCTAACAACGACTACTACTCAACAATAATTATGCTACTCAAAATATTTTTGCGCTATAAAGGGCAACCCGCATGGTGCGCGCCTTAAACACCAAACATACATATACATATAATAATAGGCATGCATTCATATTAAAACGGAACTAAACAATGAGCGCCTACCCAGCATCAATCGAAACAGGTATGAAATTCTATATATTTTACTGGTAGTTATAAATTATTAGACAGTAAAACAGACAACTCAAATCATTATTGTATTGTATCAGTGTATAGTTTACCTTAATTTATGACGCAATGATGCCACGTGTCGCAAATGATTTCCACTTCTGCATGCGTACTTCGTATAATTAATAAAAACCGCGTGTCGTTTTTGCCCTTACCTCCTACAGTTGCATGCGAATCTCAGCTGAAGAACTTTCTGGCTGACAAGACGTTTGTGGATTATCTCAACGTGTTTTTGTCGCTACCGGTGAGAACAGATCGACCCAGGCGTATACGATAGGATATGACCTCGCGTATATGTATATTCAATAACATTATGCATAAAGTGATATGCGTCAATGATGGCATTCATTATTGCGTCAATGATGGCATTCATTATTGCGTCAATGATTGCGTCAATGATGGCATTCATTATTGCGTCAATGATTGCGTCAATGATTGCATCCACGATTCCGTCAATGCTGGCATAAATGATACGCATCAATGATTGCATCTATGATTGCGTCAATGATTGCGTCAATATTTCCGTCAATGTTTGCGTCAATGATCGTATCAATGATTGCGTCAATGATCGCAGCAATGAATATGGCGTCAATGATTGTGGAAATTATATACGCCACAAATCAATCAGTGATCAAACCAAAATCAATATTAGGTATTGCCAGTTGTCTCCATAGTAAATCTATGTACCAATAAACGCACGTGTAACACTAAATATCTGCAATTATATCGTTTAATGACCTTTCATCCGTGTTGTTTCCACCTTTTAGGTATTTGGTCAGAAGATCTTCTTACGATTTTCGACACAAACGTTTCAGTTTTGTCCGCTTCTCTCGCAACAGACAATACAAGTACGTTTTGGGAATACCTTCGTTTTTTTTAAATAATAGCGTTGAAAGTGGGATTATTATTCTTGTAGTTGCCCTAGGGGTGGCCACACTGGACTTTCACACGTGCTGTGGTTAGCACGTGTAATTTATTTGTGTCGAGGTCATTTTCCGCTCCTACCGTGAAGGCAGGACGGTGATGCATGCAGTAGTAAGAAAAACGCCAGCGTGAAATGAACGCAAGTCCTTAGATAGTCTTTATACAACGGATGGTTTTATTCATCGTATACGAATAACATTCACTGCACGTGTCTCAAATATTGCGTATAGATATATATATTATATATATTACTCATGTCACGTTTACGTTACCTCGTTAGGTTATTACACGTTTAACTGCTCTCTTATTCTACGGGTTAATATTGTAGTCCCCGGCGCCGCTCCTCGTCTGTCTCTCCCCGTCGTGTGCTCCGCGGCTCGGCGCGAGTTCGTGGGTTGGTAGTGTGTCTCCCTGTCCGGGGTAGGCTATACCTCCGCGTCCCTCCCTTAGTATAGGATATACCTTCTCGGGGGTCGTCCTGCTCGTGGGTGGCTCTCCCTCCGACGGTGTGTGTGCGCTCTCTCTCGAGCGCGTTCGTTCGTTCGTTCATTCGTTCGTGGCCGTCCGAAGACCGACTGTCTTTACCGTTGGATCTTGGCTGCTTATATAGGACCCTGCGGTAACGTAGGATCCGGGCAGTGCCTCCCTCTCACATGCCTCCGGTGCCTGGCCGTTGTCACCCCCTCGCTTAACACGTGTACGGGTGATGCAACTCCCTTGGTCCAGTATATGTCCGAGCGTCGCACCCCCCCCCCCTCTGTCCGCCACGTTCTCGGCCGGTGCAACTCCCTCGCCTCATGCGTGTACATGGTGGCGCAACTCCCTTACCTCCCACATCTGTACGTAGCTATGGCACCCCCTCCACCGCTCTTGTCTGTGTCGTTGGGGAAAACTTTCTACCTGTCGCTAGGGGAACTTTCTATCTCTGTTGCTGTTGAACTGGTCTCTGATTGTATGACGTCATCCCGCCTGAAATCTCCACATTATTATTATTATTATTAGCCATTATTATTAAATATATTATTAGATCTATTATTAGCGATTATTGTTAGCTACAATGGTTAATTAGACGACAAATGGATGACTTACTAATCATCGCCAAAAAATCTCACTCCTATATAGCTACAGGTCAGCCGATTATAGCGTCAGCACAATGTTTGCACAGTGTTATTACAACGTTTTGTTTGCGTGTATTATATTGGTAGAGAGTAACTTGGTGTTTATTTGTGTGTTATATATATAGGTAGAGAATAACTTAGTGTTTATTAATTTTGTTTATTTGTGTTATATAATTATGTAGAGAATAACTTAATGTTGATTTGTTGATTCGTGTTTTATAGGTAGAGAATACCTATACATAATTATATTAGTAGTACATAAATATATTATTTACATAATACATAATAATATTGATTTGTTGATTTGTGTTATATAGGTACGGTAGATAATATAACTTAGTGTTGATTTGTTGATTTGTGTTATATAGGTAGAGAATAACTTAGTGTTGAGATGGCTGTTAAAGAATCGTCTACCTTTCTTTTTTGCATCCGAACTGTATGTCGACTACCTCCTCTGTTACAAACTTCAGCGTTCTGGTTCGTATAGATCAAAATTAATCACGTAACCACGCATAGTGCCCACAGGCACATAATAACCTTTAAATGGCGAGGGACCGTACTTAATCCCCGTAACTCGCCACGCCGCACTAATCCGTGAGTTTACTCAGAGATTACATCTTGAAGACGTATTATAATTGTTGTTGTTACATCAGTCGCCGTCGGGCGGTAATATTCACGTGTTTTTTGTTGTTGTTAAATTAATCTTATGTCTCATCTCTGTTTATCTCTCTGTTATATCTCTGTTATCTCTGTTATATCTCAGTCATCTCTGATTTATATCTCTGTTATATCTCAGTTATCTCTGATTTATATCTCTGTTATATCTCAGTTATCTCTGATTTATATCTCTGTTATATCTCAGTTATCTCTGATTTATATCTCTGTTGAATCTCAGTTATCTTGCTGATTGTACTATCTCTGTTATATCTCAGTTATCTTTAGATTGTATATCTCTGCTTTATTATTCTCAGTTATCTCTGATTTATATCTCTGTCTTATATCTCAGTTATCTCTGATTTATATCCTGTTATATGGTCAGTTATCTCTGATTATATCTCTGTTAATATCTCAGTTTATCTCTGAGTTTATATCTGCGTGTTGCTTGAAGCGTAAAGGCGAGTGGCGTGCAGAGCCGCACTTCGTCCCCCCAGCTGGCCAACGAACGTTGCCGTGCCTACGACGGACGGGATGGGGATGAGCGTCACGGAGAGCACACCTCATCCGCATTATGGGCCACGACTGCAGCATGCGCGACGCGTCGACACTACGTTGCAGACGCCGCAGCGCAAATAGCTACTTTCGGTACGTACGGAGTATATATAATATATTCGAGGGTGGAATCGGCAAGTGTGTCGCGCCCAGACCCTGCGCTCCGCAAGCGAGGTTACAACGTTGTGCGCACTCTACGGGCTTTCCTTCATTCGCAAATAACGGCCTCACTAATTGTTTAGCATATTATTAGTTATTAACGTTTATCATCAATTTCGTACTTTTTATGTCTTTTCAATCAACAGAACTTTGCAGTTATTAAGACACGCGTTACATCGTTTGTGCAATTACACAGGCAATGTATATTCAGGCCCCGTAGGCCAGCTTCTATTGGGGGGGGGGTTCGTTTTTCAATGTTGGCAATTGCTCGGGCAGGAGGCGTGTCAGGATTTGTACGCAGGGGGGGTTCTGAAACGTAACCATAGTGAGGAGCGAACGGGCAAGGGGCGGGTTGGGGGCCCTCCCCAGAAAATTGTGGTAAATTACACCCCTCAGCATGCAGTTTTCTGCGCGGAGCAAGGGGGTCGCACTCCCTGGAGCCCCCGTGTACACGGCCCTGCTCGGTGCGCGAAGCGACAGGCGATGGAGCACAATGCGGAGAGCGGGGGGAGGGGTGTGGGAGGGGCGGATGTTGCACTGTTCTACCCTCCCGCACCGATGGAGAGTTTTCGCAAATTAGTTACACTGAAAATGGAGCGACCTGAGGTGAAATTCTTGACTAAATTTTACAAAAAAAAAATTTTTTGCGTTGGGGGAGGGGCTCGGGGGGGGGTTCGTTCGAACCCCCCGAACCCCCCCTGGCTACGGGCCTGTATATATAATGATTGTTTCATCGAAACGCTTCACAAATGTTCGTCGGTAAGAAAGGTTAAATTTCACAATAAAAAAAAACATGAGAAAATTAAGAAAAAAATTAGTTTAATGAGAAAGTAAAACAACGAACTTTCTTCACTATAGCGTACCGGACCGGAAA